TCTCAGCTGTCTCGGGCTCTTCGGCAGACTCCTTCTCTGGCTCCTCTACCTTCACCTCTTTCTCAGCTGTCTCGGGCTCTTCGGCAGACTCTTCTGGCTCCTCTGCCTTCACCTCCTTCTCTTCTACCTCACCCTTTTTGTCTGTCAGCTGATGGCAACCAATCTTGCCATATTTGCAACACATTTCCAGCTTGGCCACGGAAATCTCGCCATACTTGCAACACATTTCCAGCTTGGCCTCTGAATCATCCTTCTCCACTGTGGTGCAATCCACCACTGAGTGCATCTCCAAGCCACCCAGGGAATTCTCTGTCCATCCTGGGACAATGGAACTAGCACCAAAGTGAACCTGATCCATGTCCGCTGGCATATTAGCCGAACTTCCATGGATAAAGTGAACCTGATCCATGTCTGCTGGCATATTAGCCGAACTTCCATGGATAAAGTGAAGCTGATTCATGTCTGCAGGCGTAGCCACGGAATGACCGTAGTTCAACTGACCTGCCGCTACTCCGAAAGAAGAATCCCCGTAGTTGACCTGGTCCGCAGGTACTTCGAAAGAATAAGAATCCCCGTAGTTGATGTCTTTGGCTGGAACGCCGACAGACTCTCCGAAGTGAACGCGACGGAGGCGTGACCCATGAAATTGATGCATACCTGAAGGCGTAGCAATGGAGCTATGAGTGAAGGATTTCACTCCGCCCATGAATCCATCTGAGCCTCTACTGTACTCTGCGGTGGGACCAGCCACCGATGAAGACACAGCTCCAGAAGCCGTGCTCTTGACAAGGATCACACTCATGGTTCCCATCAAGGCCAGCAGGCCCACTAGGCCCAAAACACGGCCCAGGCCCCAAACACCGCCGCGCGTCCAAGAACGCGGTGCCAGATGCATGGAAGCCGGCTCTGGGAGCATTTCGTATTTGGGAGCCATGCTTTCACCACACAATTGCAAAAAACACTAAGTCAGCTCAAGCAAAAGAGTGTCTAGAAGGCTTGAACCAAATACTTACAGTATCACAATCTTGCACATTGATCCAGACTTAATTACGTATCACAATGCCTCACATCTCCTCACTATTTGTCATAAGTTGCAGGTCTGAAGATGGATCGAAATCGTCGAGAATCTGTCCCACTGGGCTTCTGAATCCTCTGAAGTGACCGAACAAATCCTTCCGAGGCGCCTTTGGGATCCAACATCGCCAGCACTGCCTGCGCCTCTTTGCCTGCGTGTGCGGCCGGTTGAATCTCCAGGGCCGCGAGGCCAAGCGTGGCAAAGGCCTTCTGCTGAGCAAGGAGATCCAACAAGCGTTGCTCCAACAGGTGAGGTCTCCTCAGCATGACTTGGACCACGGCAGTCATGGCAAGTCTGTTTTCTATTTCTTGGGTTGAGCTGCGGGTTTGAAAGCTAAACATGGCAGCCCCATGCGATTCTGGATCTTCCCAGGGCGTGACGAGGGTTTACTGATGATTGGGTTCACACATGACGGCTTCACCAGGGTCCTCCTGGACAAACCGGAGCTCAGAAAAACAACAATCTACTAAAAACTGGATATGCAGCATGGTTATAGAGACGTATGGAGCAATTAATGGTACCAAGCCAACTCAAGGAAGCCTGTTTGATTTCTGTGGTGAATTTTTTGGGTTAGGAGTCATTACAGCATGTGCACCGTGCGGAACATTTTTGACATACTTGATTTTGGTAGGAAAGGCCACCTGCAGCTAATTCAACCTGTGGTACATTGCGCATTTGCCAGTCCTGACGGCATCCAAAGCCTTCTATATATGTAATTTTACTATTAGTACTATTAGTGTTATTTTGTTTATATAATTAATGTATAATTTTAGTATATATATAATTATATAACACATAAAATATCATGAAATGGAGTACCTGCACATCCAACCTTCCACCCTTGGCCTAAAAAACCAGGTCTCCATCGATAAGAGAGCTGGAGCCACGTCTGGGTGACCTTCTCCACCAAGCGAGGCCACAGCCCAAGGCTCAACGCCCCGTCGCTACACGGCCCCAGCCGAGCGGGGGGTCCAAGCCCCAGCAGGTCGTACCTGAGGACTCGCCATAGAAGGTCCGGGGTCCAAGGCTTGGAAAGACGGGTGATCCATCATGATCCATCTACTTCTAGAAGATGGGTTTTTGGGGGTCCAAGGTCCAAGGCCCAATCCAATTGCCTTGGCGGATTCGTTGTGAGAAAGTCACTTCATCGACTCACTGGATCACCGCAAAAGAACGACACCTCCCTTCGATTCGATGCAGTTCAAACAATAAAACATCGAACAAGTCAAGAAAAAACCTGACCTGATGACTGTTCAATGTTGGAGTTTCCCAATACATCCTTTTCCTTCTAACTTCTCCCCATCCTCCAAAAGCCGCCCCGATTTCGTCCGCAGGTTTCCGGGTGCTCTGGAACGACGGTCCCAGGTGCAAGGCATGGCGATCGCCAGGCCAAAGACATGGCTCCTGGGCGAAACATCGACCCCAAAGAGAGGCCGATGTTAAGGTGGTGCAGCCGAATGGCTACGAGGTGGTGTGCCGAAAAATGGCTTGGTTTACCTTTTTCATATTTTTCCATCGTTTTTTTTCACTGCTCCATGGTTTGTTCTTCGACGAAGCATAAAAACGAACCCTTTGGGCCGATCCCGGTCATGCCCCAACTACAAAGACTCAGCCCCATTTCTGGTTGGTGCATTTTTGTCAGCTCTGCTTTGAAGCTGCAATCACGCGCACAACTTCCAAGTGGCCTTTGTCGGCTGCAATAGACAAAGCCGTTGCCCCATCTGTCGTGGTTGCATCTTTGTCAGCTCCAGCCTCAAGCAACAGTCGCACCGCTTCCAAGTGGCCGTTCTCGGCTGCAACAGTCAAAGCCGTTGTTGCCCATCTATGGTGGCTGCTTCTTTGTCAGTTCCAGCCTCGAGCAACAATCGCACAACTTCCAAGTGGCCGTTCTCAGCTGCAATGGGGGGGGTAGCGCTGCGAGTGTCCCAACCTGTCGCGGGTTAAGGACACGCAAAGCCACTCGCTAGGCAGAGTCCTCAGGGAGAGTACAAGCTGCCTGCAGGGTTCTACGCCGTAACGTGTGCTCTTCGTGTCGGATGTTTCCCATTTGTTGAAGAAGGTCCAAACAAGAGTCGAGAGTCATCCCAGGGCCCCACCCTAAACGCGCAGCAAAGTCGGAAACCGGACGCGGTAGCACCCGCAGCGCAGCGAAAAGCCGGCAGACCCACAGCACATGATCGATGGAAGGGACCACGGGCTCATGACAATACGGACAATGCTGAGGACGGACAGCAGCATGGACAGTAGCAGGAGTGGACATGCCCCCCCACTAAAACGGCCGCCGGCTCCCCGGACACCCGTTTGACAAGCCCTTTGAGCAATGACCCTATATGCTCGGAGTACTGCAAATTCAGCTCACGGCCAATAGCAGAATCACGTCGTTGTCGATTTTGCAACCAACTGTTAAACTGCCAAGACCGCCAAGACTCGCGGAAATGGTGAAGCATTTTCCCAAATTGGGCCGGTTGAGACCGGATGTCCAAACGAACCCCGGACGCGTGCTCCCACACGCCCCACTGACGAGGAGTCCAGCACCAACGTCTCATCTCAACATTGACTTTACGCAAAATTCTCAAATCAGGGAGAGGAAACATCATCTCAATCCCAAAACGCTCCCACCAGGAGCACAAGGTTGCTAATACCCTTTGACTGGCAAGGAACGAGAGATCGCCACGGTGCCCCCAACGAGCCAGGAGTTCAAGATTCCGAGAAGCGGGACCATGTTGGCCACCCATGCAAGCTTTCCGAAACAACACACGCCAAGCTGACGGCTCATGCGTCATGCGACCAGTGATGAGCTGGTTCCAAACCGCTTTATTGGACAAAGCCGTTGCCCCATCTATGGTGGCTGCTTCTGTGTCAGCTCCAGCCTCGAGCAACAATCGCACAACTTCCAAGTGGCCGTTGTGGGTCGCATAAAGCAAAGCCGTTACCCCATGTGTCGTGGCTGCATCTTTGTCAGCTCCAGCCTCAAGCAACAATCGCACAACTTCCAAGTGGCCACTCCCAACTGCAACAATCTAAGCCGTGTCCCCATCTATCATGGCTGCTTCTTTGTCAGCTCCAGCCTCGAGCAACAATCGCACAACTTCCAAGTGGCCGTTGTGGGTCGCATAAAGCAAAGCCGTTGCCCCATCTGTTGTGGCTGCATCTTTGTCAGCTCCAGCCTCAAGCAACAACCGCACAACTTCCAAGTGGCCACTCCCGGCTGCAACAATCAAAGCCGTTGTTGCCCCATCTATGGTGGCTGCTTCTTTGTCAGCTCCAGCCTCGAGCAACAACCGGACAACTTCCAAGTGGCCTTCGTCGGCGGCAAGGAGCAAAGCCCTTCCGCTTGGGTGCTGTGGTTTTTTGAAGCAATCGTTCGACACGACTCGCCTGATTCGCCTGGCAGTACTCTTCTTCCTCCATAGTCTCATCATGAGCACAAATGGGCAGGAATACCAGCTGTACACTTGGCAGTGGTGTCAATGGCATGTCATCCTGCAATTCGTCAGCTTCGCCACTGATCATGAGTCGTTGCTGAAACCTTGAGCACCCAACCTTAGCTGAAAGACGTCGCTTTAGGTCCCGAACAGTTGTCCCACTTTCCACCATGTACCGCAACTCATCCGCATCAAGCTCGGCGATTCTCTTCCCAGATAGAGCCACAACGTCCATAGTTAAGCTTCAGAAGCTAGAGGTCTTGAGCCAAAGTCTAAAGCAAGGCTGCAAACATTGCATCTCTGTATGAATGATACAAAGGCAAAGGGATTCATGGGTGGCAGAGCAATGCACTTTTCACAAGCGAACTAAACAAAAAAAACAAAGGTCAAGACTCAAGACTCAAGACTCCTGAAAATAACTGGAAGGTCTTCCATCCCGTTTTTTTCCGGCCGTTCCCTCTGTGAAACACGCATGGAAGTGGACAACCACTCGTTTGTAAAGGAACATGGAAGCCACTATGGATCGAGGGTTCACGTCCCGTGGCGGTCGTTTTCGAAGCGCACGAGTGTTGTTTCTGCGAATCGACCCATGACATGCACCAAAGTCCTTTACTCTTCGCAATTGCTCTTGTGGCTTGTAGGTTTATCGCCATGGTTTTGACGTGCTTCGTTGAGTTTGGAAGGCGAAAGAGTGGCATGATGGTCGACGATCTTCAGGTGCACTCTCTTTCTTCAAGGGCCAAACAGATATGTTGGAGGGAGCCCGTGGCTTTTTCAACGGCTGGGCGAGATGTCAAGAGGTGAATGCATAACCTTGAAAGAGGGGCAGTTTCCATCGTCTGAAAATTTGCGGATCCTTTGTGGTCGCCTTCTTGCTTATGTTTCGGTTTCTAGCTGCATTTTGAGGAAATGGCTTTCTACCCGGTTAGTGCTACAGTCACTGTCGCATTTGACTGCACTCGGCCTTGATAACTTGGTTTCATGCGCGGGCATTTATATCACCGATCGCACCCATGCTGCGCGTGAAAAAGATGTTGAGTGATGGCATCATTGGTGCAAGGCAATGAACTGAATGTTGTTCTGCTTGAGGACGAATATCATATGATTGTGCTTGAGTCAAAGGACAAAGGACTTCTTTTTTCAGTGATGACTTGTATGAAACGCATCAAAGGTATGTGGCGGATGTGTCATTCTGCAAGTTTCCAGGACTTCATGGGGCACAAAGGTGAACAGCCGATACTCCTGTTAGCCTCGCTCATGCTGGTTTTGTTTGATGTATGTCTCGCTTGGAATCCAACGGGATCTGACATCATCGACCTGAAAAACGTGTTTAGATCGACATTGTCCGGCTCCCTACCCGGTCAACCTGTCGGGGAACGGAGCGGGATCGCCATGTGGTGTGGAGGGTTTCATGGTCATCCAACGAGCTGTTCTTCATCCACTTCCCCACATGGTGTACCTGTTCTTGCTGTGAACATACTCCTCTTCTCCTTCCCGTTTCAGAGAATCTATGATGCTTTCTCCAGGGTTGCCACTGTGCCACTCTCCATGAACAGCTTGTTGGCAAAGGACATGTTCCAAAGAAATGACGTCCAAAATGTTTCTGCCCACTCCCTGGTGTTGCCTGGCAATTGTAGGAACCTCGTGTTGGACATGTTTGTGGGTTTTGAACAAGCTCCAACAAAAACCCAGCAAAGCACTACTAAGTAGAAGTCCCAGGTTCATGAACTTTTGGACTCCTATACATCCAACATCTGTGTTTTCCTCATGCTCAACATCCTAGAGGTTTGTATTATCTCTAGATCTCATCATCTCTTTAAGCAACTGAGTGTCTTCACTTGACCCACACTCTGTGACCATCAGCCCGCAGCAGACTCCGGAGCGGGGTTGAGTGAGCGCAGCCGAATCCAAGCAGAGTCCACATCCTCTGTGGAGCCCAGGTTGGGCCCATCTTCATCTCTTTTGGCCTCGTCTCCCCCCGCGTTGTCACCCCTCCGACCGAGCCGAGTCGCTGCGTCCGGCGCCATCTGATTGAAGATCTGCTCGAAGGCGACGCTCCGCGGCAGGTCGGGTCGCTGAGGGTCGGTGCCGCTGGGAGTTTGAGGCGAAAAAAGGGACCATAAGCTGAAGAGGGGCTCTGGAGCCATGGCCCAATCGCTTTTCACCTGGGATCGAGGATGGAACCATGGCTCAATTCACCGAAATAAATCAACTACTAGTGGTGGTTTTTGCACTAGCGGCGGCGTCCTTGCTAGTGGTAGCGACGCACTTTGTTACTAGTATAGCTTCTTGTTACTAGCAGTAGTGCACTTAGCTACTAGAGCCTTGGCTCAAATCCCGTGGTTTTTGCACTTCGTTGGTTTGCCCAGGGGTTGACTCCTGAGATCTCAGAGAGGGCGAAGACATTCTTCTGCAGTTAAAACGTTGGGTTTGCTGATGGGGATCCTGGATCATTTGAATGAGCTTTGAACAATATCTCCAATACCTCATAACCTTGAAGACATCCTGCTACCTACAGATGTGTATGGGCTGGTTTATGCGCAATGTCTTTCTTAGACATAGCGCTCCAATCAGTTCCTGGATCCATTGATCAAACTGATTAGTCTCGCCTCCGAATTTGTTTCTTGGCTGTCTTTCTTTTTTTTGGGGAAGCTTCAGCTTGGCTTCACATACTTTGGTGGGTGAAAGGGCACCAATTCCATGTAGTTGTCAGACCATACGGGCAAAGCACATCCAAACCATGCACACCGAAAGAACTCCCACCAGAAATGCTCCCATTTTCGGGCTGAAACGTGATCATACGTGATCATCTACCTCAAAGCTCCTGGTTTTGTTTTAAGGGGACATGTTCCCTTTTTGCACCATCCTATCTGCTGGTTGGGTGCAACCTCAGCAAACTCTCGACCGGTTTAGCGCTTCGAGCCAGGTAGCCCCCAGCAGCTCAGGATGCCTGGCGACATAATGTGCGAGTGCTGCGACCAGCAAAGGCCCCAGAGGCGTGAAAAAGGCCATCGCCGCGCCGTGGAACCCGCGTGGCTTTTTTGAGCAGGTCGGAAGGCAGGGAAGACATTCACGTTCGCCGCATTTGATTTGGAAAACCCGGGGAAGTGGAACGGGCTCTGGAAGATGGAGTGCCTGTCTCACTGGGATACAAAACACAAGCAAATGGAAAGGTTCCAACTTCAATCCATCATATTTCGCCGATGTTCATGCTGTTGTCCTTAGTGTAATGGATCTTTACTGCTTTCTAGCACCTCGTGCCGAAGACGGACGATGCCATGGAAGAAACAACTGCCGCTGTCGAAGAATTCTGAACCGGACGGATTCACAGGAAGCTAGGGATCCGTGGAGGAAACAGGACACCATGGTGAAAGCCCCCAACACAACGCTCCAAACAAGTCCTTCTCAGATTCGAAAAGGTGGTCAAACATGACCTCTGACACAGATTGTCATGGATGATCACAGATTTGGCAAGAAATGGACATATAGGCTGAAATCACTGTATGTGAAATCCATGCTTTGCCGGAACTCGGCAAACCCCGGAGATCAGATCTGATGTTGTTCAAGAAGCAAACCCAAGGTGTTGAATCAATGTAGAAACACGCAGAAACACACTAAGTGGTCATGTCACCCCTTTTTGTCCATCAAATCTCCATTCTTGGCTTTCCCACTACTTTTGCTCATCTGATTCTTCTCTTGAGCCGCTAAGGCTGAGGAGTCTTGCTCCTGAAGACGATCTGCGAGTTTGGTCGTGCGATAGCTTGAAAAACAAATCGTCCGAACCAAGGTAGGCGACTAAGGCGACTGAAGACTCTTCCAACCTACTAGCAACCTAACCTACTAGGTGTTAGGTTTTAGGTAGCAACCTAACCTACTAGCAATAGCCTTCCAACCTACTAGCGATGGCCTCTCTCCCCCCTGTCCACACCCCGACCCCCTGTCACACCATCCCGACGAGCAAGTCACCCGTGCGACGGCCCAAACGATGTTGCAAATGTGTGACCTCGAGGCCCGGTGATCGGCCGAGCGTGCGCACCGAGGCCGGCCGGACGGCCGAGGCCGGCCCGGCGCCTGCGAACTCGTGCGCCCACCCGGTGGAGTATCTGGAACTCCCCCCGCTGCGAACTCGTCATGTGACCCTTTTCCAGTCGGATCTGATAGGGCACAGTGTTTGGATCGACCTGATGAACGAATCGTGATTGTGGGAGAGTTAGTTGGGGCTCAGAAACTCGGATTGGTGCTGGAATCTCTGAGATGCAAAATGTGTGAAGAACATTGAAGAATCATGCGCCCCATCTGAGCACATGCTTTTTTTGTGTATGAACTGAAAGGCGCTTCGCCTGTCATTACCTGAATCCAATTGTCAAGCGACACACGCGGCGTCGAACATGGCTTTTTACAGTACTCCCTGCAAACCTACCGGGGGGGGGGGCAAGCCATCTGCCCGCTATCCAGCTTACACCATGCAAGGCTGCAAATGCAAAAAATATATATATATATAGATATACCATTTGTATATGCATTATGTTACAGTTCTTGGTGTTCTGAAGAACTAGGCTTGGATCATCAAAAACTCGAGTACCACAGTAATTAGCGTGGAGTATGTATCTTCTCAAGGCTATATTCCCATACGGAAAGGCCATGTTCCACATCCCCTAGGGTTAAAAAATCCTGACAAGGAGAAGGGTCTCAGTACCCTATAGGAATCTGTGATGATCAGAAGGGTACTAATCTAATCTCATCTTTCCAGAAGGACCATCCTTCAAAGCCTTCCCTTGGCTACCACAAGCTTGGCGACCGACACATCCATGGCTCCGACGCAATCGGCCGCCTGGCGATGACTTGATCTGAGAATCGACGAAAGCCAGCCACCTGGCTCTTGAAACTGAGAGAACCTCGGTGGCCAACCCTCAGCAGCCCTACCACTCCAAGTGAACGTGTTTGAGAAGTTTATCCAACGTCACTGATCTATACCCCTATATTCCATGTGGACTCCAAGAGTTAATATGAACTCCGAATAATACATAATAGCCGACTTCGGGTCTGAGTGATCCTGTACTTAGGGTGGAGCGGACATCTCTTTGCATCACAACATCACAACCTTTCATCCAGCAATGGCCCCTGGTTGTGGGCACAATGGCCGGTATCATGTCTTTTGAGACTGATGTATCATGTCTCAGTCATGTGTCCAACATCCAAAGGTGATCTTCTGTCTGGCCGCAGTGCAAAGCATCCAAAGCTTCCCATGTTCAGGCAATAGATAAGCAACATGTTCTGCCGCCTGATTCTGCTTTCGACACCTAGAACCTTCTTCAAGCATTGCTCCGACGACTGTTTCGAATCATTCAGTGTGGCTTGCTCTGGAGCTTCAGGCCCAAACCCGCGAAGTCGCAACATAAACAAACATCGTCAACACAAATCGTCCGAGGGTGGAGGGTACAAAGGCCTTTCAGGGTGGTTGAACTTCAGACCAACATCTACCAGGGCCCCTGGTCTGCAGGGATGTCTTGTAGCTCCTTAGAGGTATCCAGGGGTATTCATTAACCACCCCATGGCCGGGCCCTGGAGTCTCAACCTCTGAAATCGGACACGTGCCAGGTGGTGCCAACACTGCTCGCACCGAGAGAAGCCCAACCGGTGATGGCCCAGGTCGGAAGACCGTTTGGACCAAAAACACGGTCACGTTTCCAGTGACACGAATTGAGCCATGCAGAGCGGAAAGACACCAAAACAGGCTAACAAACGCAAAAAGGATCTGACTTCACCATTGTCCTGGTGACAGCACTGAACCCCATGGCACCCGAGTCAGCTCCCAATCTCCTCGGCCGAAGCCGACTCGCCTGTTGGGAGGCCGCCTGAAAGACCGAGTCGGAAGGATAGCCGCTGACCTCGGATTCACCCACCGCTGTCCACGGATTCCAAGCTCTGAAGGGGGACTTTCCCGCCTCGGTGGTTCCGCTGACCTCGGTGGATCTGAGGATCATGGGACACCATGGGAAACTCGTTGCATCGATCGTAGAATCCGACCTCTTTTGGAGGGAATTGGGATCAACATGGATCAACCAGTTCTGGGGCTGATGGCTCCTGTCTCCAAACTGGAGTGGTGGGACTGGGAGCGGCTTCCCCTTCGGGTCACGGGTGTTCGTTCCGTGGCTCTTGCCCCGCCCGACGGCTCGGTGTCCCTGACAGCCAAGGCCCACAAAGTGATTGGCAGCTCCTGCCACTCACAGGGCAAACAAACCGTTGTGAACACTCGTGTTCACCGTTCCTTTCAACAAATGGGGAAGTTGCTCACGCTTTACAGGTCATCTCACAATTGAGGAACACTTCCTATCAATTTGGCCTAACTTGTTTCCTGCGCTCACCGCCTTTCTTCCACGAAGAGGTTCGTCTTGAGGCTCTTTCCCCTTTCTTCATCGAACTTGAATTTACCCAATCCCTCGTCGTCCCTCGTCCTATTGGTCCGGTCCCATTGCCAAGTGACCTTTCCCTTCCTTCTCAAACCCCACTTGAGGGTTCAAAACCCTTGGCTCATGCTCACGACTTTGCCAGCTGGCTTAACCCAGATGTCACCAAGTCAACCCCAAATCCCCCCCAAACAGAACATCCTTCATAACACTCTTTAAACACATACTCCAAAAATTGAAGGCATTCAAGCGCACAAAGGGTGTCCTCGGCAAAACCGTTCTTCATAGCCCCTCTCCATGAATAAATCACAGTAATTTGGGCCAACTCACCCCTGAAAGACGATTCTAGCCCTTCTGGCAATCTTCGGGGGGTTATCAATTGTGCCCTTACATTAGACCACATTATGCCATACTTGTTGCTTAAGAAAGTCTCTCTGCAGCTGGACAGCTACGGCCTCCCTTTCATCACTTTAGACAAGAAGCATAATAAATAAACAACATTGATTGTTCTGTCCAAACTGACAGGCATTCCATCCACGTTTCGCGCTGAACCGTCCGATGCGTGTGCTATCTAATGCGCTTATACTGTTGGCCTATCTCCACATGGAGCAGGGACTTAAAGAAAATGGATGCAAATGGCACACTTCAAAACCCATTCGCAAAAACACAAGACTAGTAACAAGAAGCTACTAGTAGGGTCTCCTGGCCTTACTAGTCTTACTACTAGGAGCACGGTCACGCTACGAGTTCCGGGGCTCCTGGCATCGCGACGAAGAACGGAGCGAGCTTCGCTTCATCCCATCCGCGTTCGTTCGCTCCTGGGCACCCAGCTCGCCGATGCGAGCGGCGCCTGGCGAGCTTCGGCTGGACAGCCGCTTGGACTCATGTTTCCAAGGTTGATCAACATCAATGGAATCTTGGTATGTCAGAAAAAAGAACACACAAAAACGTTTGTCTTTCAAAGGATGGAGTCTTTAAGTTTGACCCGCATACCGCAAAAAACCCATCTGTGTACACAAAAATTGCACATGTCCTCCTGGACCAGTCAAGTCCTTCTGAGTGCATGGACCAGTTTTCCACTGAGATAACTCTTCCTGGTTTTTCACATCTCCCTGTTCGCCGTTGCAGGTTCTGACAAACATACAGTATCGAACTGTCGTCTGACTTTTGCACATGTACATATATACAAACATTACAAATTATACACTACTACTACTGCTACTACTACTACTACTCCTACTACTACTCCTACTCCTACTCCTACTACTACTACTACTACTACATATTATATATCACATATACCCACACTCTCTCTCTCTCTCTCTCTGCGATCTTTATATTCTTATGATTTCTTATGAACCTTCATGATCTTTAAAGTCTATAAATGCATATTACGCATATGATAAGCATTTTTGAACCTCCCGAACTCCCTGGGTCACCAGGAACTGCCCAACACCCAACCTGCCCTCCCCTCCCCTGGCAGCGCCGCGGCGCACATTCGCTGGTCAACGCTTCGAACAAGGGCAGATCTCGATGCTGAGCTGTTGCATAGGCCTCGGGGCGGAGTTCGGACCGCTCGGGTGCGCCGAGAAGCCCCGTGCGGATCGGTCGACGTCTGAAGTCGAAGATGAACAACCCACAAACCCGCAAGCGACTGATGAACGCAACGGACATTTAGGGTCAAAGAAATCCGTCCCATGACACACCCTTGGAACCCCAAACTCAGGTATCAAAGGGCAAACATCATATCATGTTCACACTGCCATGTACGAAACCAGACTCTTGGTCAAGTCAACTGTTATCATTTTCCATTTCCATAAGCTGTTCTATTGTCGCTAGCGCGTTGCTGTACATGCGTCACAAAGCATCTTGGACGCCGTGATAGTATGTGATAATCAGGCCAGACTTTCCCACTCATGCTCAACAAAGCGGACTTCGGCGCACGAGCTTCGTCCATCCAGCAAAACTGGTAAACCGTAATTCTTGCCCTCATGCACTGCTTAAAGACACATTGGGCATTTCGGAAAACAGATGCCTCTTCTAGCACGTTTTCTTTCAGTGATCCTCGTCCGTGTCTTCGTCATCAGTGTACGGCTCCTTCAAGCAATGCCGAGATGTCAAGCGGAGATCATGCAGGGAGCACTACAAACTCCTGAAACTGCTTGCCAGTAGATTGGGTGTGATCTACCGGAGAGGAGCATGATGCGACTCTTTTCTATGATGTTCCAGTGTCTTCAAGGCGCCTGTGGTGACAAGGATTAGCATGTTCAGTGAAACATGGACAGGATTGTTCGAACACTGGCTCACGCTGACATGGCTGTGGGGTTTTGACCCAGAACCCGACCCTGGATCCAAAGGTGGTCAAATGCACACCCACATCTGGTGCCTCTTTTTACCATGAAAGTGAAGGATGGGGTGGCTGGAGATGAAAGTTTCGCCACATTAAAAATCTCATGGACCTTAGGTGAAGTCCAGCAAATAGGACACATGCGGTTTGGAAATATACATATATATACCTGAATCTTCCTAGGGCTGCACTTTTTGCGCCTCCAATCTAGAAGGCGCCTCTAGGAACTGAGAGGCAATTTTTTTTTGCAAGAGGCGATTCTTGTGTTACATAGATTTCTCCCCAGTTATGTTGATAGAACATATGATAACCGTGATAACAATGAAACTTATACACTTAACATATAGGAAAAACACCACAAACCCCGAACCATGAACCAAAACATAAGTTATATGCATTGAAAAGGTTCAAGCATGATAAACCGTGAAACACATGAAGGCATGATAACTCACTGTGGAAAAGTGAGCGCACACAACATGAAACTATATATAGATATATAAATATATGAACTGCTAATTTTCCACTTGGAGTTGCCTGCGAAAAATGACCCCCACAAGTCCGGCTTTCCCCTTCAACACCTGCATTTCAGGCAGGTCGAACCGGACTTGTGGGGGTCTTTTTTGCAAGGAAAATTGCAAATATGAACATGATATCGCGCAATTTGATAAACACACATGAAAACATGAAACACATGAAAACCACATGAAAAACCTGAAATACATGAAAACACATGAAACATATGAAAGCCACATTAAAAACATGAAGCACAGGAGAGCCACATGAAAAAAATAACACATGAAAACATATGAAAAAAACACAATACACGAAAACACACATTAAAGCACATGAAAAACATGCAACATAAGCAAAACCATGAAACACGTGAAACAACGAGAGGCGGAACTTCCCGGGTAAGAGGCGGAACTTCCCGGGTAAGAGGCGGAATTCCCGGGTTATGAATTTTTGGCATAGTATTTAATTAAGTCGACAGGTTGCCGCTTTCAGGCTCGTCTCTACTCGAAAGGGGAAATGGCGTATCAGCTTCCATCCCGTGTCTTTTCGAGTTCGACCCTGATGGCTGGTTTGACGTTAGTGAAAGAAGAGAAAGATGTGGACAAACTTGATGGTGACGATGCAACCCTGATGTCAGAGCTGCAACAACCGCAGGTGGGGCTGTTCGTTTCTATAGGTATTGATACTCACCTCTAGTCAGTGTTTTGGTCTGAACATTTCCTGGCTAAAGATGTTAGCTTTGTTTTCTGCCGGTTGCAGGCGCTCAGGTTGCAAATCCAGCAACTGCCTACTCCTATGAACTCTGCCTTGAAAGACCTCCAAACGCCAAACACCTCGGAGAGTTCGTCTTGCCTGATGATGAAACTCAAACGGCTGGTTTGGGCTTGGACGCAGTTGCTAGCAAGCATGATGAAAGTCTGTTTGCTTGGGCTTGACCGATAATCTTTTATCATGTTGATATCATGTTGATAGCTGTCGGCAGCAGCAGCGGAAGACCACCAAAAACATTACACATGACAAGATTCCCTTCTACCAGAAAAGCACGAGAGGCAGTTTTTGTTCTAAGCGGCAACTCTTGAATGGAGAGGCTAACATTTGAGCCTCTCTGCTAAGAGGCTGAGAAAAGCAACCACCGGAGGTTTAAGGTATATATATATACGTGTTCTGAGTAAAAACCACCCGTCAACTAGATTTGGCCATTGGTTTGAAGCAGGAGCATGACTCCTTTCTCTCTGGCCAACTTAAGATACTTTGTGCACAAACATATTGGTGGGCTGAGTAGGACGCTGCCATGCAAAGCTAATCATGTCCGTGAGAAGTGTTGATATTTACATATATTTACCGTCTGTCTTTGGCGCGTTGTATTCACAGCTTCTGCGCTAGACTCTAGATTCTGTGAGCATCATCATGTGTGCTTTTCTTGGTTCCGGGCAAAAAGAGAGTAGAGTGTGAGATAGTGGTCGCCAACGATGTCGAATCAAGGTCCAGCATGTGTCAAGGAGACTCACTCTCGTCACCTTTCTATCTAATATAATTGGTGGGTTAACATGTTAAAATATGCACTCCGTGCTGCCTAGAATGAACATCAACTATTCACCCAAACCATGCCACCATGTCCCAAAACCTCACTATGTCCCAAGACCATGCCACCGAAATCGCATATGAACAGATCGCAAAATCTGTTGCGAATCTTTCGCGGCTGCATGTTTAGCTCTTGCGAAGGCATCATACATAAACCTCGCTTCAACTTGTTACTTGGGAAGTTTCAACCGCTGCTCACTTGTTTCCACCCGCACCTTCCTGCACAAAAAACATACTCGCCCCCATGTCCATCCTCGCCCCACACGTCTTCCACGTCCCTTCTCGTTTTCCACTCACGGACCACGGACGCCTGCCTCGTCCACCTCGTCCGGCAGCGGCGCAAAGGCGTGCCGCCCCGAGTCCGAGGGCCCGGAGGAGTCGCCCGGCTCGGCGTGGTCCGAGAAGAGCGACGAGTCCTGCGACGAGTCCTGCTCGGTGCGCTCGTTGGACCTTGGAGAGAGCGCAGGTGGGGGCTCCTGGAGCCCCGTTCGTAGCGTCCTTACTCATATAGTCTAGTAAGGTCAGGAGCCCCGTTCGTAGCGTCCTTGCTCCTAGTTGGTGGAGAGAGCGCTGGTGTGTGGTGTGAAGGATGAATTTGTTGGTTGGGTGGTGGCAATGGGTTTGTTATGGTTTGTTGGGGGAGGATTAGCGGAGAGAGATGTCTGTAGTCTGTAGTCTTGGGAAGGGCTGAAGAAAATGGGGAAGCATGGAGAATCTCGTTGATGACGGGCAACGAGGAAGCCAATGACCCTGAACTAACCAGGATTCCAAGTGGTCTAGCCGTACATGGTTACCAATTCTGAGAACATCAAGCTGTGTTGCTTCTGGAACTTGGCTGCATAGTGGTTAATCTTGTGGTGCTGTTGGCTCAAACTGAGCTGCGTCCGCTACACGCTGAGCTAGTCTGTTGGCAAACTGGCAGAGTGAAGGTACGGACGTATGTCTTCTAAACGGCCTTGGCAGTATGTGAATCCGAAAAGTGTCCAGCAACAAAACCGACGAGAACCTGTCTGCACGTTGATTCTTGTGGTGAGTTGGACAGAGGGGTATACTGACTTTCGCACGAGAAGGTGGAAGGGGGTTGGGAGAGCACACGAGACCGCAGCACCCAACAAACACCCCTGGATAGCCACTGTTACGCACAAAACGGAGTTTCAATAGAACACTGGCAGAGTAGAAAGCAACATTTAGAACTATTCACAACACTTCACCAAGACTAAGCAAACTGGACAGGCAAGAAAAGTGGGAAAGCAAAGAAGCAAGCAAAGTCACACAAAAAGTTGAGAAAATCAAAAAGGATGCAAGCATGCCCAGAGTTGAAGGAGAAAACAGAAGCAAGGAACCTCAGAACAATCAAAGCAAACAAGGGGGTCCAAACTCTTTGGGGAGGGAAATTGAACGGTAACCCAACGGCATTGGAGAGGCTTTCGACCGGTATGTCATCAGGCGCTCTGACATTAGTGAGGGTTCTGGGAACCCGTAAATAACAAAAGCATTAGAAAGCTTTCAACAAATCTCGAGCAGCAAGCAGCTTCCAATCCCCGATCGGCAAGCTGCTTGACAAACTATGAAATCATCAATCCGAGACCCGCCCACCAGCCAGCAGCAAACTCTGAACAGATTTGGGGCTCATCACACATAATCTCTCAAAATCTCTCAAACATCATCTCACACTTCCTCAAACTCCACCCTGTGTGGCCCTGGCCCCTATGGAGAACATCGCGAGATCCATCTGCATCCCTCCCATTCCAGAAAGAACCACAAACACGCAGAACACTGCACATAATTACAAGTGTTTGGTCATGAGATGTCATGAGAATCTTCAACCGAAACATCTCAAAACTTTTAGCCTTTCACGAACACCTGTTGTTCTTTGGCAAACTTCCTATCAAAACAGGGCTCCTGAGATCCTTGTCTGGGGTCGGTCTACCAACATCATCTCACACCTCCACCATTCATCTCTCCCCAAGGCCCTTGCCCCGACTCTTCAGAGCGCATGGGCACCATGGGAATCGCCGCGCCTGCGCCTTGCGCCAACGCGCGGCACGCCGCGTTGAAACCGGTACTGCTTGGGGACGGTGGGGGGGGGGGGCCACCGGGACGCCATTTTGGAGTGCTTGGAGGAGGTGCTCTTTTTTGGTTTAAGGGAGCCTTTTTGATGAGGCGCACTCCATGCGTGACCATGTGTTGAAGCAAGTAAGGTCTTAGGGCCGGGATGTCGATGGACGTCGATGCAACAGTTGCAGAAAGTCTCCAATATCTCTATGGACTTGTGTTCGGAGAGTGCGGTCGGATGTGCGACCCATGCTGCAGACCGAAAGGCGATGCGGCCCGATGACCCATGAGAAGCTCCTGGCCCATCATCTCTCATTTGGCCTTTTGATGTCTTTCGACTGTACACATCACCGTGATGGGGCGTTGAACATCGTTTTTTTAGTGCAAACAAACAATGAACTGCTTGGTGTTGCTTGATTCCCCGGGGAGGTTCCAACCACCCCTGGGGGTCCAACGACTTCCGCCTCTTGGGGGTTCCTTCACGACTTCGTGTCCCGCCTCGCGCCGGTGGCGGCGCCAAGGTCACTGTCCTTGGTGAAGTTGGGGGCGAGGAGGGAGGACGAGGCCACCGAGGAAAACGAGGAAGACGGGCGTATTGAGATCAGTTGCCAAAATCTTGAAAACAGGCCCGTACTCGCCTGTGGAAAGTGCCAAGCAGAAGGAAACACCGATTCACGATAGACCAAAGCTCTCATTAGAATGGTATTCAGATTCACCATTCAACATTTGCCCAGAGATAGGTGTATATAGTGTATAGCTACTTTGTCTTTGTGCAGATGCTGTTCTGATATTGAACAGAACAAATCCAATGAGCCAAACGTGAAGGACGGACACAGGGCGTTGTAAACCGTATGGGGACAGCACCTGTGTTTTCATCAGCGCACAAAGGCGGCCATCTTTTCAGAAGGATTTCCTGGATCTCCTTGATCGTCAGACTGGATCTCCTTTGACTAGTAGCGATGCCCTTAGTCGACTAGTAGCTCCTTTCTCTCTTCCAAAAACTCCGGATGTCACGTCAAACGGAACACCGTTTCACGGCTCGGTTTCCGGGACCTCGGTCTTACGTGACAAGGTCGGTCGGTCGAATCCTCTCGTCCACGTGAACCACAGTCGGCTGGGCCCTACAAGAAGTGACCCTGAAGGAAACCAAGGAGGCTGGCTACAAGAAATGCTTCCGCTTCGGTCAGGGTCTTACTGATTCAATACATTCTGTACCGGTCGGTAGGACTGGTGTTGTCATGAATCCGAACACATTGATATCCACTTTGACCGACCACAATGAATTGGTTTGGGGAAATCAGCCAGCCTCATTCCCTACAAGTCACACCAGTCAGACCAGGATGATACCGTATAAACTGTATTTTGTTGTGATCACGCCAAAAGGCCCTCGAATCAAAGGAGGCGAGCCTTTCTTCAAGCGCATGAAGACCTCTGCCGCGTGGTGAGGCACCATACAGACAGGCACCCATACATCCCCAAACCAGAATGGTTGAAACAAGAATGTGGGAAAAATCTACCAGACACCTCTGACACCTCTTTGAAGGTATGGAAGTTGAACTTATCCTGCGAAAGTTCCTGCAGAAGAACTCCCTTTTCACTCATTGTGGTATTTTGGTCAAGACCAAGGAGCCACACAAACACTTTCAGGAATCGTGTTCACCATTTCTGTGTTCATGTTCGGTAGCTGCAAAAATGCCGGCATGTTGGGCGCCCAGTATGGGCAGTCGCCATTGAACTGGCAAAAAAGGCCCAGACTGCTCCAGACTCGTCTGCGCAGTGCGGTGACATCGTCCAGAACATCGCTTTTCCGGATTCCGATGTTGTTCAGTGAGCGACTGACTGAAGACTCGATGAAGAAGCTCGGAAACCCGAATCATTTGAGACGGTCAGTCGCATTTCACCTGGAACTGGTTGGGGTTCTTGTTCGGCTTAGCCTCCAAGAGCAGCTGAGTCCTCAGTGGCCAAGGGCTCTTGCCTTCAAGGTGGGAAGTGGTCCCTGTTTGATTGTCTTGAGACATGTGCAACACACACACACATGTGGATTGTTTGACATTAACATCTCACTTTCATGGTCTTGCCTTCGCATCTGCAAGCTGAGCGCTTCTCAGACCCCAAACATGACTTTCTTTCCAAACTGACACATAGCCATATAGCTAGATGTATACAGCAGGCAAGTTAAACATAGACCTGAAAACCAACTCGTTTCAATCACCATAAACTTCTAGTCAGTGGTCCATTTATTCAGGTTCTTTTTTGCCAACAGGGGAGTTGCATGGAGATCACCAACACACCATGGTTGTGGAAATCAATGGATTCCCTTTGGAGCTGGGATTGTCATGGAGAGCGATGAGGTCTGCACCGAGTGATGAGTTCTTGGAGAAGAACTCGAGTATCAACTGCGACTCGAGGATCCCCTGATGTGGAGACCGCTGAAACCATTCGTTCATTTGTCCTCAAGCTTGGTGACCCTGCGTATGACCTCCCTGGGTTCGCAGGAATGGCTGGCAAGTTTCACTTGGAGCTGATTTCATGGAGATCCGTGGGGTTCACCATCTCGTAAGCCGTTTCTATGACCCTTACTAAATGATTGCAACGTCTTCATTCAGCTTCATTTTGACTCTACACTTCCTTCTCCCCAAATGGGCACCTGATGCCCACCACCAAACAACGGCAGAGCATCTGCATGGGCGCAGGGCTCAAGTAGAAGAACTTTGCTTCGAGGACCTCAGGGGCAAGCGCCGTGGCAACCAGAGTGGAGGGGGGGCAAAAGAACGTCCTGAGCCCAGAGTTCGGCTTGGGGTGTATGTCTGTATATGTATATTATATATATATATCATATGTCCACATATATTATAGAGTATATGATTCTATCGGATGCATTCGGATGCCATGGATAACTATTGCACTACATACACACTCCAAGAAGGAAGAACTGGCACTGAAGCGCTCGTCTTTGCACATGAAAGGGAAACAAAACAATCTCCCGTTCATTTGCTGATCCCCAAGACCCAGTGAGAAGTATAATTAGGAGCCCGTTTCTATGCCAACTCTTCTGCACAAGAACGCTAGAGAGCAATTTTCAACCAGTGCCATCCAACGGTTTCCTACAGGTCCTCCGGTCCACAGGTCTTGGTTCCTTCCTCAAAGCATTCATGATCTTGCAGATTCGGCTCTTAGCCGAATAAAGCAGAGTAATTTGAGGTCAGCTTACTTCCGTTTGCCTCGAACACGAGAACGTCTCAACTCCAGAACGTCTCAATGGATTGTCTTGGCGCACCCACAAGGGGGTTCACTCGGAAAAATAACAATCCCCGAGTGAAAAACCAAGTTGTTAAGGCTTCAATCAAGAGCCTTCAAATTGAAGATGAAACGAGTCTTTCCGAAATCGACCGAGAGTAGGAGATTGAGGCATGTGCTCTAAACCTGGTGAACTGTGGACTCGAACTTTCGGAATGGACTGTTTTTGGTGTCTCGAACTCGGATTGCAAATGCCCTCAAACATGTAAAAATGCCAGCCATGTTGGCTAAGGCTTCATCCAGGAACTTTTGCGCCAACTAAAGCAACGCCACCAGGTTCCTGGAATCGTAACCTCGATCCAATGGAGGTGAGGTAACTATTCCATACATGGATTGTGGTAATGTCACTGTGGGTGTCTGGCTTATTCTGTTGCCAGTGCGGCCCTGGCACTGGCTGCTCAGCATGGGCCTCACTGGCTGCCAGGCACAGCATGGATGCAGTGGCTGCTCCATGGCCCACGCCATTCCTCGGCAATCATGAAAGACATGGAGATGCCACTGGAGATGCCATATCATTCCTATGCTACCAGTAGGATATGAGCAGCATATTTGTATGATACCGATTGATACCGTCTTTGGTCTAAAGATGTCTCGAGCTTTCCCAGCATCACGTCGCTTTGTTATTTCATGTTATTTCAACTAAGTACCGTCGCCACTGTCGCCGCCCGCACCTCTGGGGGTGTGGCATCTGAAATCAGACGCGAGTCTTGTACGAGTCTTGTATAAGTGGATGCCCCAGGATGTGTGTGGGGAGCAATTTAGCTGGGTTGAAAATAAGATATGTCGATTTGGAGTGGGAAGATCAGATTTCGATGCTCCAGGACTCCAGGACCAGCCACCCTTGAATCGCCCCCTTGCGGCTCCGAACTCGTTCAGCAGCAAGCATCACATTCAGCTGGCGGATCTTCAGCTGGCCCTCATAGCCGCCAGCACCAGACACTTTCAGCGCAGCCAACTCTTTCAGGCTCCTCTGGTGTTGCAACTCGGGGCTGTCGGCGGGGCTGCTCAATCGAAAGGTGCCAATCTACCGACATACCCGATCGGTGGAAAAGACGTGCTCCTCTTCCATCGGGCGAAACGCTCGATGACGTGTCAGGTGTCTTTTGTGGGTGACCCGTCGGTGATGTCCTAAACAATTAGCCAGCACGTTTTTTTGTACATGTATGCTGCTGCTGGTTTATGCTGGTTTGAACTTGAGTCACTTGATCAAACGGAACAAACAATCATAACTGCTCCATCACTTGAGTCGCTCCTGATCTCTTCGAAAGGTTGAGAGTATTTGGCATAGGATCCCAAGGTGTTCATGCCAGCTTGCCAAACATACCTGAGAACCCAAGGAGCGGAGGCTTCGAGCGGTGCGAAGTTTCACCCCTGTCTTGGATGGCGAAGTTTCGTTCCATCCAACACATGTGCAACGAAGGCGTGCAAGGTTCTTCTCAAATGATACACCCTGGAAGAGGTCCACATGGAACCTGAAAACCCGCTGGTTGGTAGAGGAACATCGTCTTCCATGGGACCATTGTCAGTGTCTATGTTAGTTTTTGGGAGTGTACCACACGGACATGTTCACCCTACGTGCAAGTCAGGCCTTTCCCCTGCAACAAGCGGCTGGTCTTCGACAGGACTTTTCAGGAAGACTTTCGGAGAGACCACCTACTATAGAAGCATGTATCACATGACATGGCAAAGTAAAGTTGGACACACTTCTGCAAATCCCATCAGTAGAAACATTTCCTCTTCCTCTCCCAAGTAGCTCGAAATAGGGTGGACACAGCAGCTGCAATGCCCAGGAGAGCCGCTGTCTGAGGGTGGCCTCAGGCGATGAATGCACTCACTCTTGCATCTGAACCCCCCCAGTATAGTCTTACAAGGGTCGATTTTCTCAGTCCATGTTAGTCTGCACAAACATTTGACAAACAATGCTCATGCTGCTCCTGCGGGCCCACTGCGCTTTGCCTCCAAATCACGGAGGGAAAAGGTTCTTCTGTCAGAGTCGGGTTTCGATGTTGCTGTTCTACAGGTCTATACATGCTAACATCCAGGAAAAGAATCAATATTGCCATGATTGTATCACGTCTGTCTGTGTCAATAAAAGCTGCGAGTGCTGGTGGAGGCTGCAGAGCATCGACTGTCGGTGGAAATGGCTATACGATGCTATACAATGCTATACGCAGAAAAGGATCCTTGTGTTGTTAAAGCACCCTCCTCAATTTGTCAATCCTGTGCTCCATCCTGTTGCATGTTCAGAAAACCAGGCATCAAAACGACGAAGAACCCGGCTTTCACATCCTAGTGTATCTTGGCATTACTGTAACAGTCGTGATTGAACGCCTCATACTCATACTGTTACACACGTCATGTTTCTGCGGGGTGATCTATCACGCCCAGCGGCAATGGACACCTGCAGCTGCTCTCCAGAGGCAATCAAAGCATGCTCTTCACCTCAACGTGACTGCAGTTTCTGTAGAAATCAAATCCCCTCCGATCCACGACTACCATGCAATTGGTTAAACCCCCCCTTTGTAGAGGAACATGCAAGGAACATACTCTTCCCAGCCACATAGATTTTGGGGTGACCCCGCCACATGGCCGCAAGGCAATGGTGTGGAGCACCATTTGGAGCAGCCTGAATCCTCAACCTGCTGGGCTTCTTCACGACACACCGGCACCTCTCAAAGCGACCTCACTGCGACCCACCCGTTCCTCCGAACTGAACCCACCCATTCCTCCGGCTCGCCGAGCCGCCGGTGGCAGATCGAGAGAGCTCGAAGGCCAAGACCGCGAACTTGCGGAGGCGTCGATCCTGGGAGGCGCGGCCGTGCGACCGCGACGCGAGGCGACCGGGAGGCGCGTGCGCTCTTCACGGTTCTCGTAGGGAGGCGCGTTTGCCGGGAGGTGGACCACCGTCTATACACCGTCACCGGGTCTTCCGAACGGTCATCGTGTCCGGAAAAAAACGGGATTAGTCAGATATGAACCTTTGGAACACGGATCAAATGAAACTTCATCCGAAGTATTGTGGGAGTCCAGTGCAGGCTTAACACTCGTTTGTGACTGGAACTTAACTGGACAGTCATCAAGGTTTGAGTTTTTTGTGCACCCACCAAAATCAGGGCATCAGATTCATCGGATCAGCGGATACATCCCAAGGAATGA